TAGCCATAAGACCTCATATAATTTTTAAACAGTAAAATAATTTTCAGTGAGATTCAAAACATATCTTTTGAAATAAACATGAGTAACTGTAACTACAAAAGTTGTCAGACAGGAAGTACAACCCAGGCTATGTCTATATACTGATCTATCGGAAAAAGGTACGCAATTTGCATACCTTTTTCCGATAGTTTTTTCGGAAGAGGCTTTTCCGAAATTTGGCCCATTTACACTGGGCCAAATTTCAGAAAAAGTCTGAAGAGCCCTTATTCCTCATTCAAGGAAAAAAAGTGGAAGAGCAGATGCATCCCCTGGACGCGGTGGAGTTTTTCCGGGATTTCTCTAGTATCCTGGAAAACCCCCATAGTGTAGATATAACCCCAGGCAGAAAATGTGGCGCATGATTATTTGTCATGACTTGTCCTTGAGAGGCTATTCCACAGAATGCCAGCTGGTGACACTCAAGTTTGATAGATGATGAAAGGAAATTCAGAAGGTACAACTTTAAAAGCATTAATTTTAAATGTCACCCACACTGACATTTATGGTACTCAAATATATTGAAATCGCTTATTTTTGTAAAGATTTCAGTACTTAATCTGCTCTCATGAAGGAAATAATATAAATATTTCACCATTATATCAAATAATGTGGAAAACGAAAGCAAACACAGTGATATTGCTTGATAAATGTTTGACCCATTTCAACTAATCTTCACAATTAAAAATGTTTTAATCAAATGTTCCCTTTTTTTAAACCTGGGTTGGTATTAAAAAAAAATTTTAAGGATGGGAGAAAAAATCTTCCACTATACTTATCATCCATCTAGGTCTCTAGAATATGAACAACTGAGCTACATATACTAAATTCTCCAACCCCACATCTGCAAGGCAAAGCCACTGTTCAGATAGAAATTTTCATGGAAATATTCCATTTCCCAGCAGCCTGCTTGGCCAGCATAATGAAAATCGATATGAAACAACTATACTCTTTAAAATATATACATCATTCACCAGTTCTGATCTTTTCATTATCATTGATATACTGTCTAATAAAGTGAACCAATACTTTCTTCAGTGGGACACTGATCGCCGCATTTTGTTCTCAGTAATAACATCTATAATCACCTTCAAATTCTATATCCTGAAACTTTAAAGTGTAGTGCACTTTATAAAAAATGGTGCCAGTTGCTATATTCTTCTATAATGGACACTCTATGACTATAATCCTACATAATGGGTACTTGTTGATGAGCTATCATTTCATAAATTCAAGCTAGTCAGCCCATTAAACAAAAAATGAGAAAATCTTTGGGGTTTGTTTATCTTTTTAAATTTTCTTTTTTTTTCAATTCATTTAAGCACAGTATAAACACTGAAGACTTCATAAGCACTGAGGAGCTTGGGTTTGTTGCAGTAAGAGACTGGAAGTCAAGGAGAGCATCAGAAAGAATGGCAAAATAAACTAGGGAGGAAAGGAAGATAAAGTTATTAATCTAAATCTTTTTAAAGAAAAAAATTAAAAAGCCTCAAGTTAAATGATTTACAGGGTACAATTAATAGCACTCAATTTATTATAAAAATAACTTTAAAGGAATGATGCTTTAATGACAGTCATATCACATGATAAGCAATACAGTTCTTACACAAGACCCACTGTCTCCTGTCAAAGTTTATTCTAGATGACAGGTGGATTTGCTTAAGATAAATGAGGCCATAGGCCAACATCAGAAATCTTTTAATTACTTAGGGCCAAATCCAACTTCTGCATGCAAAGCCTAAAGGAAATATTCTTGATTCTGTCCTCTCGCCACTTTGCAGCACTCAACTGGGGAATGGAACACCTCTATAAATAAATGGTAGCTGTTGAGGGTCTTGAGTGAAACAGTGGACACAGGTCACAATTCTACTGTATTTCTGGGTAATGCATAAATGTATAGGTTGCTGCATCCCTGACATTCCCACTTCCCATCCTACCTTCCACATCCTACCATCCACATCCCCAGCAACCACACAATGAACATGCTAATTGTTCTCATCAGCCTCTTGTAACTTGAACAATCTATTCACTGTCTTTTCTTCTTTTTTCTCTTTTTCTCTACCCTCTTTCCTCCCCCTTCCCTTATTTATTCTTGGATCTGGACTTTTAATACTCCAGTCATCTGAAGAAGTGGGTTTTGCCCATGAAAGCTCATGATACCATCTATCTGTTTTGTTAGTCTTTAAGGTGCTACTAGACTATTTGTTGTTTTTTAAGTTTTTCCAGTTACAGACTAACTTGGCTACCCCTCTGAAACTCTTGAACATAGCAACACCATCCTTTGTACCTAATAGAGTATTATATACATTGATCATGAAATTCTCACCTCTACTGCAGATTGTTGGAGCCCTAAAAGCCCCAGTTCTGGCTGAGGTACCTTCCTTTTGGGCAGATAGTTTTGAGATGGCCATAAGGCTGTGCTTAAAGACCCCCTTGTAAACATGTTGGGATAGAGCTGTGAAATGCTGTTGAGATTTTGGGCAGTATTGTGGCCCTTAGTGCAGCCTTGGGAGGCTGCCACAACTTAGAAAAGAAAACATGGGTAGTAATTTTCAGCATGCATGTGTAACC